TTGTTGGTGCACAGTTCTGTGAGTATCTACAGAGGAACATTCACTTTACTCTGTCTTTATAGCAGGAGCTTGGTCTTTTTATCAACAAGGTAAAATCTCTTCTTCAGCCTATCCAAACAACCAATTCATTGGGCCTGTATTGGACTCTTGGCATGCAAGGGCCTTCAGACAGGTTTCTGACTCTGCATTCATTAGCTCTTTGAGTCTGGAAGAAGCCATACATCCATGCCAGGGATGTCCAGTGCCTTTTGGGACACATGGCATTCACCACAGCTGCCACTCCTTTCTCCTGTTTGCACCTTCGGCCTCTCCAGAATTGGTTTCTTCGGGCACTTCATCCCATGCAGGATGAGCCCAATGAATGTCTCAATGTCCCTTTAGCCATCCACCGGTCTATCAACTAGTGGACTCATCGCTCCAATCTCTGTGTGGGCGATGTTAGCAACAGACACTTCCCTCTCAGAGTGGTGAGCTCGCCTCAAGGGTCACACCATCCATGGTCCTTGGGCGGCCCTAGAGGGCATAGAGCACATCAACTATTTGGAGTTACTTGCAGTAGAAATGGCACTGCACCTTATCTGTCATTTGCTCATGGACAGTATTGTCCAGCTTACCACCACCACCACAATTGTGATTTGCTTGCCCTCATCAGAATCTGGGACTGGTATACCATAACCATCAGTGCCATTCATCAAGAACTCTCTTGCTGGCTCCCTCAGTCAGACAGTTTATAATGACCACTAATGGTCCCTTCATCCTTCCCAGGGATGGGAACTCTTTGTCAGATGGCAAACTCCCCTTCTGGACTTGTTTGCCTCTCCCGCCAACATGAAGTGCCAGTTCTTTGGAGCACGTCTTACCTCCACCAGACAGGCTGTTGGGAGATGCCTTCCTCCTGGATTGGACATCCGCCCTCCTGTACATCTTTCCACTACTGCCACTGCTGTCCAGAGTGGTCTCTCGTCTTCAAGCAGAGCAGGTAGATTGCATTCTCATCACACCATGGTGGCCCCGCCAGCCATGGTTTGTCACTCTGCTCCAACTTGCAGGCAGCTGTTACATTCAATTGCCACTCAGACCAGACTTGCTGACTATGGGCAACAGCCCAGTCCCGTACTCCCAAGTCACTCAGTTCCGGTTGATGGCGTGGCAGATCCAGCCTCAGCCCTCTCTCAACCAGTAAAGGGCAGTTTGGACCTTGCCCTGAGACCTGCCACTAAACATTCTTACATTTGTAAGTGGTGTCATTTTTGCATTTTTTCACAAAAGCAAGGAGTTCAGCCTCTGTCTGCTTCCACTTCCCTCCTCCTGGATTTTTTGATTTCTCTGTCAGATTCAGGACTCTCATTATCATTCTTGAAGGTCAATCTGGCAAATATAGCTTCGTTTAGAAGCGAGCATTCTCTTCCCTCTCCTTTATCCGATCCTCTTGTAAAGACATTTCTGCAAGGCTTTAGAAATTTCTGGCCCCAAGTAGGCCTGTGCCCCCCTCTTGGAGGTTGGAGGTTGTTCTTTCCGCCCTTATGAAACCACCATTTGAGCCAATGGCCACTTCTGACATGTTCCATCTATCATGGAAAACAGCATTTTTAGTGCCTATTACTTTTGCTCGTTGCGCTAGCGAGCTTATGGCTCTTGAGTCGATAGTCCTTACGTGAAATTTCATAAGGATAAGGTCATGCTGGGCACAGACATTCCCTTCTTACCTAAGGCAGCATCATAGTTTCATATGTCTCAGGACATTGTCCTTCCAACCTTATTTCCAAATCCTTCTACTCCCCTGGAGCAGTCTTTGCACCTTCTTGATGTGCGGAGGGCTCTTGCTTTTTATGTCCACCGCACAGCTCCATTACGGAACTCACTACGACTTTTTGTTAAGTACCGTAGGGATACTGTGGGCCTTCCTGTTTCTACCCAGAGGTGGCGGCCTGGATAGTTGCAGCTATCCGGCTAGCTTATGAAATGGCAGGACTGGACTTACCTGTTCAGATCCATGCTCATGCCACTAGAGCATTGGCAGCCTCCATGGCTTTTTTGCACGGTGTGCCTCTGAATGATATCTGTCGGGTGGCCATATGGTCAACACCGCATACTTTTGTCTCCCATTATAAATTGGATTTAGCTGCCAAGAAGGAGATGGCTTTTGGGAGAGCAGTACTTTTTTCTGCACTAGCATGACACCCACCATCCGTGGGACTGCTCGCTAGTCTACCACAGGTGTGGATTTCACAGTACCACGCAGAAGAAAGTAAGGTTGCTTACCTGTAACCATGTTTCTTCTAGTGGTTAACTGTGAAATTCACACAACCCGCCCATCCTCCCCACATTCTGTCATGCCTTTTATCTCCGACTGTCTTTCGCGGTACGGAATTAAGGCTCCAAGCCCCGCTGCCTGGCTTTATTAGGAGTAGATGGGCGGGGCTGGAGTCCCTAATTAGGAAAAGCTTTCAAGAAAGATCCGAGTCAGCTGCGTGGACGCAGGGAAATACCACAGGTGTGAATTTCACAGTTAACCACTAGAAGAAACATGGTTACAGGTAAGCAACCTTACTTTTTACAAGGTCTTGAGCCTTCTCTGCCAAAGGATGTTATTGCCCCACTAAACTACAAATCCCAGGATTGCATAGCTTTAAGCCATGGCCATTAAATTAGAGATAACATCCCTCAAAGAGGAGTTCCAGGTGCAAATCCTAAAGTAGCTTCCTCTTTTGCTCTAACTACCTCATCACATGGAGCTAGATTTGGTGGCAAATAGCAATCTAGCCCCAATCACCCACGGAGCCAGACAGCTCCATGGGTGATGGAGAACGGATCCAGCATGTTGTTGCTATCTTAGCAACATGGGAAGTTTCCTGTGTTGCCATTCCTTCAATGGGGGAAGCCATACACTCCATCTGTGCACCACGCTTCCTCCCTGTGTGAGGAGCTGCTGGAGGAGCCCAACAAAGCGGGGCGTGTGGAGGCTGCTTCCTGGTGCCCAGTGGCAAGCTGGAGCACCGCTGAGTTATGATAAGGTGGTTAGATTACAATATGACACAAATCTAATGCACACCCTAATTTAGCCAATAGAGGTGAGCATTAAATCTGAGTAAATAGAATAATAAAAATATATCCAAGGATATTTCCACATTAGCTACATAACTTGCCATCCTTCACCCAGTTTATACAGAAATGTTGAGATGCAATTATCAACGTATTGTCCCCCAGTATTTTCTTCTTCATACCTGATCACTTGCAATTTTAAAAACATAAACTTGCACTGTTATTACATTTGAGCAGGAGTGGGCTGGGAAAGCATTGTCGAGGCTTTTCAGGATTATTGTCTCTTTAATTAGAATCACCTTGGTTGCAGCTTCTAACTCTAATAGTTTCCTGGTCAGCGCAGAGTGCATTTCATGATGAATTGCCCCTTCATTGCACCATCATATTGAAAATAAGAGGAAGCTATGAATTAAACTTTGCTAATGCAAAATAGGAATTATGGGCCAATTAAAGAGCAATTCATAACTAATGTTCCACTGTGCTGAATCAGAATCAAATGGAAGATGAAGCTGTAAAACAAACATTTAATTAAAATTGCAGGGCACCTTTAATTGAATGGAATTTTCCTCAAAGTAACAGAATGGAAGAACTGTTAGCCTTGGAAAGAGCACAGCAAAACAACATAGCAGTATACAACTGAATTGAAGCATCTGCTCTCATTTTGCCTGCAACTGATTAAAAAATGAAAGTACAGGCAGTCCCCAAATTACAAACATCTGACTGAAGTATTGGTATGAGACAACAGGAGGTGAGAGAAATCTACCTCTCCGAATGGAAATCCACTTCTGGAAGAGTTATCATAGGGAAAAGGTGTTTCAATTGAAGCTTTATCACCATTCCTTGTTTCCACAACAAGCCATATTTCTCAAAATCCAATTATAACAGGGACAGAAAGTGAGGCAAAATCTTCTGAACAGGGGCACAGACAGCAAAAGAAACACCGTGCCAGTGGTTCTCAACCTGTGGGTTCCCAGATGTTTTGGTCTTCAACTCCCAGAAATCCTAACAGCTGTAAACTAGCTGGGATTTGTGGGAGTTGTAGGCCAAAACAACCAGGGACCCAGAGATTGAGAACCACTGTGTTAAGTGTTCCCTATGCTATCCAAAGTGAATCTCAAAATCAATCCCTCTCTTTCTTTCTCTCTCTCTCTGGCTGGAATTATATTTTAAAATGTACGTGTTCCAACTTACATACAAACTCAACTTAAGAACAAACAGAATCCATCTTGTTCATAACTTGTGGGGGGGGGGGTGTGTGTGTGCCTGTATTGAAGAACATTTCCATGTTCTTTTCTGCACATACTCTTCTCACTTCATGCCACTCTCTCCTAACCACTTTCCACCTGTCTTATTCTGTTTCCCATTTTCTCTCTTTCTCTATATATACACATATATACAAGTTCAGAAGAAAACTTTAATGCAGCAGATATCAAGCATACAAAACAGCAGAGCTTGGAAACGCCTAAGAAAAATGGGTACATTGCCATACAATCCACAGCCAAAGCTTTCAATCCATTTAGATTTGGGAAGGAAACAAAGGATACAGGCATTGGTGCACCTTGCTTAAGTATGAATTAATTCAGCTTAATATCAATTCTACAGTGCAGGTACACTGTATACACTTCAAGTAAGACAATGCATCATCAGGCCCAGTAAGTAACAAGAATTCAGTTATGGACTAACTGTATATCTGTCAATATCCAATGTTTAGCCAATTGGTTCTTATAGCCCTTCTACCCGACGAAATAGTGTCCCTCCATTGAAGGAATGAGAGACTCCTCCGAATAGAAACATTTTATTCTTTCCTCAAGATAGTAAACATATATCCAAGACAAATCAGCCTGCAAATATCCTAATTTGTAATATTTTAAATATTTTTAATAATATTTTTAATAATTTTTTAATTTGTAATATTTGTTGGCAGCCTCCACTAGAACCTACCAAGCATTTTCTCTCACCTGTTGAACGATTTGTAATGGCATAGTTCGGATTTAGAGCCAGAAGACAAGAAGTCAATTTTGATACTACTTTTCTCCTGTGGGGTAAGACCCAGAGCTCTTTCCCAAGGAGAGATGTACGTCTGAAAAATGGAAACGTGTTTCCCGCTGCCGCTTTTGTTGTCACCTGTTAATACCAAGGGAAGAGGAAAAGCACATGAGAACACAGCCCTTGAGGAAATAAATGCTATGAAGAATCAAGCAAAGGCAATAAGCAAACCTTTTACTAATTCTGTAACAAGAAAACTGAACCATTGTGCCCAGAATACATTACACTGATCAATACACATTTTGGTGCCTCAACTGTGAGACCTGTTTCTGGATGTTTTTGATTCCTGATTCCAATAATGGCACCTGTTTTCCCCCATCAGCTCTAGGTTTTGAGAAACTGAACATATGCCATATCCCACACTTCACTCTGCTCGCCTATAAAAATCAGGCTATTTTAATGTAGTGTTTAAATTAATTCAACCATATCTAAGAAACTAGAGCTGATGGCATCTATCAATGCAATTTTCCAAATCAGTGCCCCAAATAATCCAAGGACAAGCCTAAAAGCCAAGACATCAAGAATTATTCTTTGGTTGGGCTGTGTTATGAGTGAGAAATTCCATAAAATATATGGAATGGGATGTGAATTTCCATAACACATACATGATGTATTCAGAATGCCACATTATACTGTTTTCCCCATAATTCAGGAAATATTTAACAAAGACCTAGCTAGGGTACTCAAAAGTGCTTTTGTACTCTTTATAGCTTGTATGCTTTAAATCTTCTTGAAGCAACGTTTGAATCTCTGAACCAGATCAATGACTTGTTCCCAGCAGGGTTGCAATTTTCCATGCAATCTAAAAAGTATTAATTTGATGCAGTCAGGAAAAACAGTATTGTTATGTAAAGGTAAAAAAATACACATATAAATAGCTGTCCTTTATTCAGATTAGATATTACAAACAAATTTTTGAAAGTTGTCCTAAGGATCTTGATTACAGCAAAGGGGAAAGGACAAGTTTAAGTTATGTTTCTTTCTCACCTGGAATGCATTAGTACAGTGGTTCTCAACCTGTGGGTCTCCAGGTGTTTTGGCCTACAGCTTTGAGAAATCCCAGCCAGTTTACCAGCTGTTAGGATTTCTGGGAGTTGAAGGCCAAAACATCTTGGGACCCCCAGGCTGAGAACCACTTCATTAGTCTCGGATGACATCCTAGAGCAGTAGTTTATAAAATGCAGCCCTCCAGATATTTTTGGGCTGCAGATCCCATTAGTACTAGCCACCATAGGAAATGTTGAGGAAGCCTGAGAGATTGACAGCACTGGAGAGCCATACTTCATCCACACTGATCTAAGTCCCATCATGTTTCATTATTGAAAGTGTTGTACTGTTTGTGTGTGGATACTTGCCTTGTCCAGCAGTGGTCTCACTTCCTCCACCATCCACTCCTCCTCCAGTGTTGGCAGATCCCTCTGTGTGGCCAGTTCCAGCTCCTCCAGTTCCAGCTCCTCCAGCTCCTCCTTTGCTGCCAGGCTTTGGAGGAGGGGCAGGAGGATATTGCAGTTTAATAGATCCGTAGGGCCCTACTGTTACACCACTTACCATCCTCCCACCGCTTTGTGAATAACCATGAGAATCAATTCCGTATTGTCCCCCAGTTGGGATGAATTTCTGGAAGTGATCCTGCAAGGGAGAGGTAGGAGGGAGCAAGATAAAAAATGAAAGAGAAATGTGACATGATTCTCAAAGTAAGCTTCCATGTATCTCTTTCCACCTACCAAAATTCTTCTTGGACCTCATGGTGCTCAGGAGCAGCAAAGATGTGCGGTGCTAACTTGACTTAAGAGTTTAATTCATTCTGTGACTGAGCTCTTAAGTCAAAAATGTCTTATCTCAAAAGCAAGTTTTCCCATTGAAATACTATTAATCATTCTGGTCCCTCAAACCTAACACACACACACTTTTTTGTTATTTGTTTTTAAATAAGAAAATGTACTTTATAAATAACAAATAATGTCTAAATGAACATTCACATGGAACAATAAAAAAGAAAGCTCAACTTTAAAATGGTACAAGCACAAACTTGTGGCAAGGAAACACAAAGTGAAGAGGCAGAAGCATAATTTTCTTCATACTGCATTCATTCAACCCGCCCCTCCTCCCGCTCTCTTTCTCTCTCCCTTATGAAGCCAAACATACAAGGAATAAAAAACACAAAATGAAGTAATCCAAGGTTCCTCAAAGCAGACAAGAACAAAGCTGACAGCAATCTCCTAAAGCAGACAAGAGCACGAGGTGCAGAGGCACGAGGTGCAGAGGCTGCTCCCTTGAAGCCCTAAAGCCTTGTAATCCTGCGCTAGCGCTGTCTCTGGTGCTAGCTCTTAACTCAAAATGCTGCTCTCATGTCAAAGCAAAACCCAGGCTGAGCGACAGCTCTTAACTCAAAATGTGCTGAAGTTGGGACTCTCTAAAGTAGAGGTAAATTCAAGGATTAACAGTAAAGAGTGCTTTTTGTAAGAATTACAGCTGCTTCGGTAGCTTTATGGACATTTGAAGAACGAGTCAGAAAATCTTGGTGGAACCAGAAGGCGATGAATGAAATAAATAATGATATTAAATGTCACTTGCATGTTATGCTTTAGAAATGCCAACAGCAGCCCTCCAGAAAAAATCTAATTATTATTCAAACTCCAACGGGCATGGAGGAATAGCCCTTTCTCCCTTGCTAGTGCTCTAAAGAAAATCTTCCTTATGAAGCAGGCATTTGCTTTGGGGAAACATCCCAAATAGAACTAGTGGGATATTTTCTCCCAGTGTTAGTGCCATTGGATAGAGAGATTTTCTTCAGCACTGTAGCAGGGAAGGAAAAAGTGAAAACCCTTCCTTCCTCAATTTTGTGGTTTGGACAGTGCTCTCTGTCTCATTCTCTCTCTCTCACACACACACAGCAGTGCATTCTAAATCTATATATTAAAAGTAAAGAATTAATGTCACCCCTTATTCAGCCCTGAGAATAATTTATGTAGAGCTGCCAAGTTAACTCAATCACGTTATTAGTGACAGTATAAATAACTGGTTTATGTTAGGATTGTTGTTGTGTGCCTTCACATAATTTTCAATCACTGGTGACCCTAAGACAAACCAATCATGGAGGCTGCTTGGCAAGATTTGTTCAAAGAGGGTTTACCATTGCCTTCCTCTGAGGCTGAGAATGATCACCCAGTCATTTTCCATGTCCAAGTGGGGATTCACACTCTGATTTCCAGAGTGGTAGCCCAATGTCCAAATCACTGCACCACACAACTGGCAATTAACAGTACATGTGCCGTCACACCCAGGCACTATAAAAATAAAACTAAGGTGTGCTTTTCTCTATATCTGGGTGAACTGCGGATGTCTTTCTTAAAAGCTTGAGATTCCCAGCAACTGAGGCTACTACAGGTTTTGAACACCAAAACAGAATATTTGTAACATCTTGTCCAAGTTACAAACAAAACAGTCAATTGGTGAAACCATAGAAATGCTCTTTCTTTATTTTTTTCTCTAGTCGCGGAGTTGCCTTCATCCAAATGAGATCTTTTTACCCCAACCCTGAGCTACTATTCCAGCCCAAGGTTAGTTCTGGAGATGAACCAGTGTTCAATAACTATCTCAATAGCCCTCAATAACTATCTCAATAGTCCTTTATACTAAATAGCTCAAAATCTCAATATGCTTCTCTATAGCTCAACAGAATCTCAAATCTATAACTCAGTTAAGACTCAATAAGCTTATCTATCTATCTATCTATCTATCTATCTATCTAAATGACTCAATTACTATCTATCTATAACTCAATTAAGACTCAATAAGACTCAATTACTCTCTCTCTATTTGTTTCTTTATCTAAATAACTCAAGTGTACTTACAATGTTTTTTTCAGAGCTCCCTGACTGGCCTAACCACACATCTGAGGCCTTTTCTCTAAACTGAAGGAGGCAGGGAAGATTCCAAAATGGAGATCTCCAACCCTAGGAAAAAGGGCGGTCTCTAAACCCAAAGAGATACTTTCTAAACCAATAGCTGCAAAAAGGCCTGCAGGCTGGCTTTCTAGCCTCTAATGCTGTTAACTTTCAGGGTGCAGCTGAAAGTGTAGCAACCCTGGGGAAATGCAAAAGAATGCTATCCCATACAACTAAGGGTAATGCAAACTATGCTCTTGGAAGACGGAACAGTAGATAATCGAAGGATTAATTATTTATATATTTTCCCATATCTTGTGAATAGTAAACAGTTAAAACTTGCTAATGGGAAAATTAATACACTAAAATGCCAATTGTATTTATTTATTTATTTATTGCATTTATTTATTGTATTTATTTATGTATTTATTTATAGACCAAGGGTCTCAGGGTGATTTACATAAACAAACATTAAATACCATAATCAAGTTCAAACACATCAAACAAATACAAAATAATATAAAATGACTGATAAACTTATATCTGTCCATATTATTATCTCCACTGTAATGTGGCCACGATGACTGTATGAAGGTAGTCAATCTTTTTTTCTGCCTAATTTTTGTGGAGTTAATTTATTTTCGATTTAGCTTTTTCTCCCACTCAAAATTTACACCCAAACCAGCTCAAACCTTAAAAGCAAAACAATTAAAAGCATACATATGGCTTTTTTGGCAAATGAATACCATGCAGATTTGTTTAAAAGCTCAAAAAATGTGGAGAAAGCCCAAACATACAACATTTGTAAAACCCGCCAAGTTGATAAGTGTGCCATAAGGATGTTTGGGATTTTTCCACATTTTATTTTGAGCTCTTTAACAAATCTAGATCTGGCCAGGCAGTCACATCCATTCAATGATATCTAAGGGACCCTTTTGCAATGCAGCAGAAAGAGCACACGGACTGTCTGGTTAGTGGAGTAGTCTTCCAAGTTGTCACTTTGTGCCTTCAAGTTGTTTCCAAGCTATGGTGACCCTAAGACAAAACACATCACAGGGTTTTCTTCACCAGGTTTCTTCAGATGAGGTTTGCCCTTGCCTTCCTCTGAGGCTGAGTGATTATTATGTGCCCAAACTCAGCCAGTAGTTTCCATGACAGGGGACATTTGAACCGTGCCAGCACTTAAACCATTGCGCCAGGCGTGGACATAAGAGAAGCCTTCCACAGGATGGTAACACATCCGGGTGTTCCCTGGGCAAAGTCTCTGCAGACAGCCAATTCTCTCACATCAGAAATGACCTGCAGTTTTTCAATTCACTCCTGACACGATTAAAAAAAACCATGCTGGCTTGTTCTCCTAAGTCCCATTATTTAAAAACAACATGGCTATCTTCCTGCAGGTTATTTTTTTGATTTGCTTGCACATATCTTCTTCTGCTTGTGGCTAACCTCAGGAATCATTCAGACTTTAGGCAACCATCACAGACTACCTGTGGGCTAATGAAATGAAATCTGTAACAGGGGTCCTCAAACTAAGGCCCGGGGGCCAGATATGGCCCTCCAAGGTCATTTACCCGGCCCTCGCTCAGTGTCAACCTAAGTCTGAAATGACTTGAAAGCACACAACAACAACAACAATCCTGTCCCACCAGCCAAATCAGGCCCACACTTCCCATTGAAATACTAATGTTTATATTTGTTAAAATTGTTCTTCATTTTAATTATTGTATTGTTTTTAAGTGGGGTTTTTTTTGCACTACAAATAAGATATGTGCAGTGTGCATAGGTATTCATTCGTATTTTTTTCAAATTATAATCCGGCCCTCCAACAGTTTGAAGGACTGTGACCTGGCCCTCTGTTTAAAAAGTTTGAGGACCCCTGATCTATAATATCTAATTAGTAGCCTTTACCTGTAAGTATTAGCCACAAAAAACTCTTTAAAAATCTCATCAACCAGAAAAACAGTGCAAATAATGAAATTATTAATCAGGTTCCAGGTTTGTATTAAAACGTCATTATGGAGTTGCAGCACCCAGAGAGACCTGGCTTGACCACTGCTGTTTGCATCAGACAAGCCTGATAACAACACATTTCATTGTTTTCATTGCTTGCCTACTACATGTAGCCCTGTTCGGCAATGAGAAATTTTTTGAGCTGTAAACAGGCTTCCAATGCCAGCTGTTCAGTCAGCTAAATATAGGCAAGAAGTAGTGAAAAACCCACCAGGCTGAGTGTAGAATTATCTAACACTCTGCTCAATGTATTCGGTGGCAGTCGCCAGGGCTTCGCAGCAGGTCATCCAATCTGCAGTCTGGGCAGAGAGCCATCCGCAAACTAAACTGACTGAGCTCTAGGGAATCTCCCTCTCTCCACCCACCCCTGTCCTGTGCCTCTGCAGATTTCCAATTTTAACAACAAGGAGTCCCTTGAATGTTAAGAAATGCAGGGTTTTGGCTCTGATGCCCTGGGCTATGAGTGGTGGCTAGTGGGGCTGTGTGCACTGATAGTAGGCAAAGGAGCAGAGCCTGGTGTGGGAGGTAAGTCATTTTGATGTGAAAAGCATGATATTGTCTACACCTGAAAGTAGGCATCTTACCAAACAAATGTTATATATATGCTATATAGAAACATACAAGGTTTAGAGGTGATTATTTGTTCAAAACAATTGCCTAGAACAATCAGGGAAATGAGAAAGCAGTAAAAGAGTTAATTTCAGCTAGATGAGAACACCTCAGCAAGCG